ATAATTTTGACGAAAATTGATTTTTTTTGAGTGGGGGGGGGCCTTAATGCGTTTAAACGCAAAAATAGCGTTTTCTTGAAAAAAGTTGGCGTTCAAACGCAACTTTTTGCAAATTTTTTTTCATGGGATGTATGATGAAATAAAAAATAGTTTTATTTCGATGATAATCTCATTGTTAATACATAAGATAATAACCGATAAATATGAACGAAATGATTTGATAGTTAAATTTTTGAAAATTCTTTTCAATAAAAAAAGTTAAACTTATTTAAATAGATTGATCGTGATGAGGCAAGGAAATATTTTCAAAGGATTTATAATGTGGATCTCATTCAATTTTATGTTAATTTAATCTGCGAAATGTTTGATTTAGATAGAAACAAAATCTTAATTAAGTTTGATCTTATGTAAAAACATGTCATCGTTATTCATTAAAAAGGTTTACTATTCATATGGAAATTTATTTTTAACAATACACTTAAATCTGACGAAAATATTTTAATACCTTTCTTTTCTTGTTTGTTTAAATAAACAAATTCACTTAGCTAATTATTGTCTTGATTTATATAGTGAAAGATTTTCTTTCATGTAAAACTAAAACTTAATCTGAACGCTTTCAATGACTTATTAACAAACAACGGAATAAAAAATATATAATTGTCAATGATGAAATTTATTAAATAAATAAACAGAAAAAAAGAAAACAATCTCATTAAGATATTCGATTAAAAGTAAATTAATTTAAAATTGATTTTGATAAGATAATAAAGTTGCGTCATCTATAGAAGCACAAAATTCTAATTTGTAAAATAATAACGAACATTCTAGTATATGTGCTATTCAGCTATACATTCGATTATTAGAAACAATAAGTATTTGTTCTCGTCAGTAAGAGTTGTTTTTTTTTCTTTTAAATTTCAGATATTATTTTTTTTTACAATGAATAAGGAACAATTAATGTTACAATGGAAACAAGTGAGTTTAGAACTACCCAAGGCAAAGCCGCTCGATCGGATTCTGTCGGATGGATTTCAAATCCGTTTGGATCCGACGTTTCAGACGTAATCCGATCTGGATTCCTTTGCACAGGATTCCGACGCAAACTGGAGCGGATCCGATCGGTTTTTAACGGAAGACGTCGGATTCCGATGCAATCCGTTTCGGATCCGATGGTTGCCAGTAAGATCCACAGGTCGGATTCAATCTCTTGGGTATCTCGATTTCTCCAGAAGGCACCCAAGAGATTCAAACCAAGGAAAGCCGCTCGATCGGATTCTGTCGGATGGATTTGAAATCCGTTTGAATCCGTCGAACAGATATTTTCCGACGTAATCCGGCCCGGAATCCTGTGCAAGGAATCCGACGCAAACTGGTTCGGATCCGATCGGTTTTAACGGAAGGCGTCGGATTCCGATGCAATCCGTTTCGGATCCAATCGGTTTCCGGTAGGATCCACAGGTCGGATTGAATCTCTTGGGTATTTCATTAAATTTATTTTGTGGTAACTTTTAGGTGTGCAAACAATTAGGGAAAGATCCCTTGAATAAGGAGTTGACCCAAAAGATGGAAAAAATTCGTGTGCGTAGAAACTCTGGTATATCATGCTCAATTGATTGAATATTTTCCTTTTAGATGAAATTACAAACTGTAACACGATCTTCTGAGGTAAATTAAAAAATTTGACCATTTTTTTGTTGAAGATTTTTCTTCAGAATGAATCATCTAATGATCGTACAACAATAAATGAAGATAAAAATTTTGATGAAGGTTTAAATGAAGATTCAAAAGAAAATTTAAATGAAGGTTTAAGTGAAGATTCAGATGAAAGTTCAAATGAAGTTTTTGCTGAACGTTCAAGTCAAGAATCAAATGATGATCTTAATGATGGTCTAAATGAACATAATGAAGATCAAATAACAAATTCTGAACAACGTCCATCAATACTTGTTATGAATTCTTTTGTGAAATTACGTAAGTTGTAAAAACATTTTTATGTGTAAAAAGAGGATGAGGAATATTTGAATAAATAATATTCTCAAAATTTGACGATTAGAGTAGTTTTTATCATGAAGATGCCGTTTCTATTATAACAGTTCTTCTCTTTTTCCTTTTTACAGAAGAAAATGCGAGTCTCTTGATTTGGATGACCTATATTTCTATAAAACAGTAGACATATTTTTTTCCGTCTGCAAATGATTTTGTTATGAAAATATAAAATAGTAAATAATATCTTTTCTATCTGACAGGATCATTTTTCAAGGTATCTTTCAAATGGATTGGTTATCATCACAACAATCATGCAAAATTAGACTAATTTGGACATCTTGGTTAAATAATTTTTTTTTTGCTGCTTGTCGCTTCTTTTATTTGATTTCTGCTTGTCTTTGCACTAAATATTTTTCTTCTCTTCAAAAACAATTAAAAGTATATCTCACGCTTTTTATCGAATGTCCAAATGAAAAATTATTGTACTATCTCTAGAAGCCTTCTCACAATAAAATATAGTTTTTTTTCTTTCTTTTAGTAAAGGTGAAGTTTGGAAGTTACGTGATCAATTAAGATAACGAATGATGTTTCGAAAATCTCACCAAAAATCTACTGAAAACGATAGAAGGTGTGGACGATTGATTACACAACTCAGCCATAGCAAATCGAGTCGATTTTTTTGGGGGTGGTTTACAAGAAAACA